AAAACAACATTTGGGGGGGGTCCGCAAAAAAAAGCAGACACACCCAAAGGGGCAAGGGATTCTGTGTCATTTTCCGCCAAAAGATAAGATTCATTCAGCCCGCCGCTCCCCTTTTCCCCTCCGGAGTAGTCCCAAGCCAACAGCCTCAACCATCCTTTGGGTATCTTCTCTGGGGTTTGGAGCGAAAACGCAGGCCCTCTCACCTAAAACAGGTGTTTTGCTTGCTTTCCCGCAAGGAAAGGAAAAACAAACACCAACCGAGCAGGCTACTGTATTTTTTCCCAACAAACAGACTTTGTCCAATCCGTGAGTCTTCTTCAGGTGGCCAAAGAAGCGGGGAAGTGGGCGAGGCGGCTCTTTCCCAAATACCTGGGTGCTCCTGACGAAGAGGATGCCATCCCAGAGGACAACCCCCTCTTCGCTTCGGAGCCCGACGTGACCGGGGAGGGCTGCCGTGTGGATACTTTGGCCGGCTGCGGCTTCAAGGACAGGCAGAGCGGCAAGGGAACAGCTAGTTAGAGGTATATGGCCTGTTGGGGCGGCAATGTATTTTACGGAGCGCTGGAAAACAGCGTTGACTATGTTGGAAAGGCTAAGTGTTTAGAAGGTCCAAAGGGGCGGCTAGACGGCTAGACGGCTAGGAGCAGGTGTTCATTGAGAAGCAGCGCAGCAGCACCGCAGAAAAGAGGAAAGCCGAGTTGCAGCGGCTGACAAAGATACAGGATGCAGTCATGAAGCCGGACCAAAAGGCGGGCGGGACGGAAAGGCTCTCCAGGTGCCAAGTAGCCCAGAATTTGGACATATCCAAAGGAAACCAACAAGGAAATTGTAATTTCAACGACTAGTCCAGACTCTGCCACGAAAAAACACACACCCAGCTTGTGTCGCGAGAACTGCCGCCTTTTGGCCGTGGCTCAGCGCGTCGATAAGTTTCAGTTTCCAGTTTTGGCCATAAGCATCTCCAAAACATGCGCTGTGTCTTGAGTTCGGCTTAACTTCCAAAGGACTCGTTTTCTTGACCTGGCTGGTCTTTGAATCCAGGATCCAGAGAACAAAGCAACCGCGGGCCACCCATGCGCTCCAGGAGTGGCTCCTGTCGCGCATCGCCATCCTGCAGCAGCTGCGCACCTGAGACGAACGCTCGACGCACCAAAAGAAACGCGCCCTCCGGGTTCGCGACGCGCGCTCAACGCACGCGCGCAAACTGCGTGTGCGTTTGCGGTGTTTGGACGTTGGAACTCATCTTGAGCCTTACGTGGTTGCGCTGATTTGGCAGCGCTCCAAAAATGGCACCGAGGCACCTCCGAGCCTGTCACCAATGTGTTCAATGGGTAACACTGGTCTAAATCTGTTCCGGCCGTGTCCCATCATGTTGCAGATTTGACTGGGAAGCTCATTTGTTGAATACCGCAAACAATACCGCATGTCTTGGTGCGGTCATATGTCATCCCCAGTCGCGGTGGCAATTGGCAAGCGCTGGCCAGCGAGGAGTTTTTGCTTCCGGCAGTTGGCACTGTGACTTGTGCTTCATTCTTTGATATCGCACCCGATGGGTTTCAGTTCGCCTTTTGTCGGGGCTGCAAAGGTTGTTTGAGGACGTGCAGGGAAAGTTGGGCTCTGCCCCACAAACAATCTTGCTTGGCAAGAAAACCGTGGTGGTAGTTGATCCAATGTTTCGGGAATCTAAGAAACTCGACTGGTTCCCTGGGGCAAAACTGTTAGGCAGGTGTGTCTCTCAAAGTTGTGACTCCCTTCTGGTTGGTTCAGGGTTTCCTTCATGCCCCTTCTTGGATCCTCCAAAAGTGGCAGTTTCAAAGGAAACCAGTACATTGCAACTTCTGATATGGGGAACTCGAGCGACCTTCGTGGTTTCTGGCCAATTTTCTGGGGTGTCCGAATGAGACCTCAGGGACGCGAGGCTCGAGCTCAGCGAGTTGGAGGATGGCTTCCCCGGGAAGTCGCTGAAGGCGCGAAAACGATTGGCTTTCCTCTGGGATTTTGTTTTGAACCACCCAACAGAAAGGTGTCAGGGGTCCCCGAAAATGATGCTTTTCCTTTTGGTGTTCCTTTTAACCCACCCAAAGGGGTAGATCAAAAACAAGACACCCCCACCCTTCAATGGCTTCAATTGCTTCAATTAGCCCAGCTGCAGAGCCCCCATTTTGAGAATGGGCGTGCCATGCGCTCGGCCAGACTGTTCTCTATCCCGGGCACGCCTTAGACGTGCGAGTGCTGGAGGCCCGTCTTCGTGTCGCGACGGAAGCGGCTCGCGTCGAGACCCTTATCCAAAAGGCCAGGGGGGGTCTCAGAAAAGGAAAACACCTTCAAGCCCAAAAAGGGGGCCCTTCAAAAGCCGACACCCGCGTCCCTTTCAAACAAAAGGGGGTCCAAAAAAACGCGACAAGGATTCATTTGGTCAACAAAAGAAATCAACATGCAGGTCATTTTCTGAGGGTGCTTTGGTTTGCCGGGTTTCAAGGGCGAGAGGGGGGCATACGGACGACGAATCTTTAAAAAAAACTGGAACTAAATTGAAAAAACTCCTTCTAGTTTTAGTGTCTAACCAGAATGAAGACAAAAATCCGCCGACCAAAAACGAGACCCCCAGGTATTTCTCCATTGGACCCCTGCGAACTGCCAGGTGGCCGCCAACGGAGCCACTTGGCTGACGCGGCGATCGGGAGATTTGACCCGGGCGGCTCGCTTTCGAAAGGAGGCGCGGCGCTTCTCTTTCCAAAAGAGGTGCTTGGGATTGGCGTTTTGGAGGTTGGGCTTCACATTGAGCCGGGTCAAATCCCGAAGCCAATCGACAGTCGAACAACTTGGGGATATTTGAGCCCGACTTCCCGGAATCAATGTAAAATCCGGGCGAATTTCAGGTTAGTGTGACTGTTGGATTGGGTAAATGTACCCTTGACATGTTATAGTGCTGGCGTCCACTTGGCTTGGAGACGATACTGTGGATGGACGAAATCCTGTACCAGTTGGGCTGGATGAAACATGAGACGTGTCCCGGTGAATTGTGGCATAAACATGGGTAAGCCACTTACAAAGTGGTGCAGATTTTTGTGAATCGACCGTATGGCACAGGAGGAGAGCCGCGATCCGGAGTCTCTTTACAACCTGCCAGAAGACCGCTGGCTGGATGGCCAGGTGGGGGACTTTTTGCCCACAGGCGGGGGGGTACAATGGGCAGGCCCATGCGTGTTTTTGTCAGGAGACCTGTATCATACTCTCTTTGTTCCGAACAGATGTATCCCCTCAAACAGATTTCATCACAATATGTGCTTGTTTGGGAACCACCGAAAATGTCGGGGTATTTCGGACCTTAAGGCTTGCCTTGGAACAGAGGAAAGGGCCACTGCTTGCAGGTGTCTTCGTGCATGTGTTCGCAGAGCCGGGGGAGAGACCCCTTGTGGGCTTCCTGCCAGCCTTCCTTTTCGAGCCAGGCGCGCACGCCGCTTGCTTTGTGCGAAACGAAGCAACCCATTTGCTGGCCTGGCAGGATTTGAGAAGGAGGCCATCCGTGGGAGGAAGGTCAAAGTTAGAAAAGAGGGCGCCGGCCTTACAAGCTTTGGGAAGAAAAGGCATGAGCAGATTACTTTGCAGAACTTGCCATGTCCAAAACCTTGAGTGTGTGTTGATGCTTGGATGCAGTGGCGGCCTATGAGCCGAGGCTTCAATCCAGGCAAAGGCCTGTTGCTGACCATGTTGCCCTAAGCTATCAGAAAAAGCTCTTGCGCAGTGGAAGAGGGATTGGCGTTTCATTGCACTGGTTGACTTGATCAACCAGGAGCATGGGAGGCTCTCTGGCAGGTCCATATTTCTGCCTGGCTTGCAAGGCACTTCGCCTGGAGCATGCAACAAACATCATGCGCACCGCAGACAGTTGGCTTGATTTGACCTATGGCACTGAAGCCATGGTCTTTTGGACCGCAGGCTCGTCGTTTTCTTGCCACCAGCGTGCTGGACGGTCATCAAGTTGGCTTTGACCTGTGGCGGCATTTGGCGAAGCACGCAGAATTCTACTGCCGAAATCAGGACACCTGGAATCTGGCGCTGGATCCTTGGCTGTCTACAGTCCAATCGGAGCAGGTAAACCAGCCACAACGGACCGGCGGGTATTTTTCTTGTTCCCTGCTCGCGATGTTTAGGGAATCAAGCATATTTGCCGTTGGCACGTTTCCTAGTTTTCTAGGCAGCCTTTTGGCAGGACGATTTTGGAGAGATCTTGGTCAGAACACGTGCCACGTCTTCTTTTGGAATCAAGCGTTAGCGTTTGGCAGTGGCCCTCAAAACATGTTGCACCCTTTTTTGCACAAGCCATTTGAGGTGTAACATATCCAGTCAATGATAAATTTGGGAGGTGCATGGGACTGGATGGAGCCCTTTCCCATGGGGAAATGCATTTCGGGCCGTGGTTAGTACTCCTACTTTTCAGAAATGATGTCACATCCCGGAATACAAGCATGTGGAGCATGCGACAGTGCCACTTTCTGCCATACCAGTTGGAAAATTTTGAATACCACTGTGTCACAGCAAAAGGGTGGATTTCAGGTTCTTGGGCTTCCTCGGATCTGTCGCTCCGAAAGCAGCCGCCCCAACTGTAAGGACCTCGGACCGCCTTGCGATGCACTGACTCCGAGCCTCGGCGGTCGGATGGGCCCCAAAGTCGCCAAGCTTGGGTGGCGTTTTTGTTTGTTTGTTCCTCTTTTTTATTGTTTAAAAAATAAAATAAAAAAAAAATCCGGACCCGCTGGGTGGTCGGTTTAAGGGCAAAGCCAAAGGAAGAAACCACTAGCTTGGGGGGGGCCCCCATGGGTGCCCTAAAATAGAAAAGCCCGATTTGAAAAGCTGCAAGCTCATGAGGATTTGTCATGAGGAGATGTGCAAAAACAAACTCACTGGGCTGTCTACAAAAGTTATGTTGGAGCTGTTGTGAATGGTAGTTGGGGAGTTGTTTGTTGTTGTTGTTTTTTGGATATTGAAATCGTTACGCGATTCGTCGATGCCAGTGGGGTGCGAGGGATTTTAAGACCCTTTTCCTTTTTTCAGGGAAGTCTTGCTTATTTCTCCAGATAATAGAAGGTCTGAATTTGCCAGTTTACAGACATTTCCCTACAAAAAAAATGCTGGAAATGCAAGGGCGCAAAATTGACCAAACACAGAAAATACCAGAGATGCCGAGAATGCTGAATGCAGCCGGCTGGCCACAAAAAAGTCTAAAAAAACAGGATTTGTTTGATATTTCCCAAAATCAACAATCAAAAGCCGGTGCTAGCAACCCCCCTCAAATACCCTAGAAATAGACTTCCAAAAACACGATAATGCAGGGGATGTTTCGCAATTGCAAAAAACACCCCTCCCCCCCCCTAGAGACCTAGGCGAAACGCATATTTTTAGCACGCAAGCCCCAAAAACACTGGAGACTTACAGGGTTTCGGACACCCAGCACACCATGCTCAAAAAATGGCAGCCCCAAAAGCCTTCGGCTTTGAAAACAGATCCGAAGGAAGACCAAGTTGCGGACTGCCATCTACACGCTCGACTGGCGTCGGCGGATTTCATGCGCATACTTCATACCATGGTCTCAATAGGGTTTGTTATTTTTCATGGTAGCCCTTTCAGTTGGTGTAATAGTGAAATCCGAACCGTCCCAACTCCTTAGTTTGATGCACACCCCAAACGGTTTCCATGTCTTGGAAATGCCCCACCCGCCTCGAACATGGAATTGGGGGAGATGCACCCTGTAATTTCATTTGTAGTTCCTTAAAGGCACGGGTCAATGTATATGTATGTATATGTTTTGTTAAGGTTACTCCCCTTTGTTTTGGCCTGGCTCCAAAGGGAACCAACGAGAAAACACCATTTTAGGATGGTCGCAACGCGGAGGATGCGGGAACGCAGTATCCTGAGCCGGGTGGTGCGCTCTGAAGGAGATGCCGCCTCCGGGGGCAAGCTGGTGATTGCCTTGCCTGGGAACAAGCGGCTCGGAAGGACGTCGCCGTTTACATGGGAAGGACACCCAACGAAAATGGGCGCGCAGGGGTTGCGCCTTTTTTTCTTTGTGCTTTCTCTTGGAACACTTGTTTTTTGGAGTGGATGTTTAAAGGCTAGCCAGAAGAAAATTCACGCGGCAAACCAAAAACGTTAAAAACAAGACACGATCGGGGATGATCCAAAAAATGCGGCCGAATGGGTTCGCTTTTGGCTGTTGGTTGTTTCCTTTTGCTTCCGGGGGGGCTGGTGGGGCCACCAAGGAAGAATCCCTTTGCTTGCCGGTGCTCAGTAGGGAATGACCCAGGGTGTTGGGAATGAACCTCAGGGATTCCTTTAAAGCAAACCATAGGGATGGTTTATGGAGAACATTCCCTCATTCCCTGCCTAGAACCAGCAAGATTGCCTCCAGGTCTGACTGCAAGCATTTGCATACGATGCCCTTAGGCAGATCGAGACGGCCATTGTTGTATCCCGCAAGCGCTCGGCGACGCAGCCTACGATTTGCGTTTCTTCACAGGCTGACACTGCATGCAGGGTGGCTGATTGGGCATGTGCCGGCTTGACCAACTTGGAACTCATGCGGCCAGTCAATAGAGCCAGCTTGCTGCACCAGGCTGTTACTGAAACGCTCGTTTCGCCAAAGTTTGACGCACTTGCTTGTCGACCTGCAGAACAGATTGCTGCCCTACTCGTTCTTTCCCGGAGATACAATATGCCTGACATGGATGTACATTTGTCCTCCACCTCCGACTTGGAGGCTTCCCCAACTTTTGGGCCCTTATGGCTTTTACAGAGGAAGCACCAGTTGACAACCGCATTCCGGTTGGCAGTTCGCAGGTTTTGGCTTCCATGTTTGACTTACCAGCGAGCCATTTTGGAATTATTTTTTTTAGCCACAGCCATTTCTTACTTTTGCAATCTTTTACAGAGAAAGCCCCAGTTGCCACACAAACAAAATCCAGTGGGCGTTTTGCTGGTGGCCAAGCCATTATTCCAACCATTTTGGAATTTTGGAGGGTAAGAAGAAGTCAATTGGAGGCGTGGAGGTTGATGACTTCAGGTGCGGCCAGGCCCTTTTTGAGCCCTTCGTACCAAGGGACCGAGTCGAGGACCGAGTCGTCCGGGCCGCGTCCCGAGTCCCGCCAGGCGGGCTGCGCCATGGCCTGCCGCTTCTGCGACACGGGGCTGCGGCGCGGCGTCGATCTGCCGGCCTGGGCCATCTTGGAGCAGGCGACGGACCGAAGTTTTGGGGTTAGCTTCCATCTCCATTCTTTCCCTAGAATTGACATGGCTGTGGCTCAAAAACCGGAAACATGGACCAAAACCTGCGGTTTGCCCCTCCTGTTTGAGCCACACCCACATCCTTTCCCCAGAATCCAACAAAAAAGCGGGCAGCAGGGGCATTTCAAAGACGGGCTGAGGAATCCGGTGGGTAAATTTCTACTGGTAGCTTCCATTTCCATTCTTTCCAGGCATCCTTCTTTCTGGAAAAACACCAAAAACTCTGGGGAAATGGCTGGTTTTTGAAAAGAACGATGAAAAGAATGGGGAACCAACAACTAGAGAAGTGGGCGAAAAACAACGGCAAGCGAGCCGCAGCGTTGTTCCCCGGTCCCAAATGGTCACATTTGTTTAAGGGGTCCAAGGGTGTTCCCCCCTTTTTTCCCCGGTCCCAATGGTCACATATTTTGTTAAGGGGGTCCAAGGGTTCAAGCGTTCATTCCAAGGGTTGGAATGAGTTGGCCGCTAGTTGACATGGCTGTTTTTCCGCCTGAACTGCCGGCTCTAATTGTTTTCAGCTACTCCCCGTTATTCGGGCATTTCGCTTTGACTCGTGCCATTTCTTTTCTTGAACTCACTGATGTTGTCACCTTGGGCCCGTGCAACAGATGCTGGCTTGCTTGTGTGCAGCGTGTCTTGTTTGGTTCTGTGTCTCTTGAGTAGGGCTTCAAGAAGCTTGCGGCTGGAGATGTGAGTAATCAACCACATGTTGCCAGGGTAGTTGTTCTGGGCCCTTGTCAGTTTCGCAACTTCACAGGTATCGGTTGTGTCCAGTCCAGCGGTTTCTGGTGCAATATTGGTCGGGCATTCATGTCACCATCCTTCAGATGCATTGTGACGAGAGCTGGACATGCCCGACAATGGCCCTGCTGATGCACTGATGTTGCTCTAGCAAAGCTGCGGTTTGCGCTCTTCAATCAGAGCATTACACGTGCTTCAAGCCATCAATCTGCCAGCTTTGCTTGCTGCATGTAGTGGCCAGCACTGGCCAGTGCCAGCGTGACAGTAATGAACATCTCAGCAACTTGTTGAATCCCAGCAAAGTCGACAGGTGCGTTGTGTATGACACACAACCAATTGGATTTGGTTGGGATGCTATCAGCACTGACTTCCGGATCACACTACTCAGACTCAGTTTCCAAGCGGTGCGTGGGTGTGTTGTGTGCCTATAGTGCCTTCATGAACAAGTAATGCCAGCAAGTAGGACCAGAAATCTTGACAACTGGGCAGGTTGACTGCGGATGTATTTGTGTGCTTTGCCAAAGACAGGTATACCTTGAAACACCTGGAGTGTCACTTTTGGTTGCGCAACACAGGTTCCCAACCACCCACCAAAGGCGGCATGCAAAAGCGGGTAAGGCCCTTTTGGGCAAGCTTTGTCAGCTTGGTCGCGTGTTGCTCCAGCTGCTTCTTGTAAACCCAAAGCCGCAAATAGGGCTACGGGGACCTCAAAAATTGTGGCTTTTCTTTTGGCTTCCCTTCAAACCGACCCCAAAAACGGTACCCTCAAAAACACCGGACACCCATTCAGCCATTTCTGTGGCAAGAATGCTGAAGCTCATTCCTGCAGTCAAGTTGATGCCGAAACAAAGGCCTGAAATGAGTTACTGGTATTTGAGTTTGTCTCCACATGGGGCACCCGACTCCAAACTGCTTCCTCAAAAAGCGAGCCGATTTCTCAGGGTTCCGATGTTTTGACTACCTCAAGGTAGACTTAAACCCAGGGGTTTCCCTTTTGGGCAAATCAACCACCCCTGGGTTTAAGTCCACTTTGGGCCTGTCAACAACGGAACCCTGCCATGTCTGCTCAGTCTTGGCAGGTGCTGCATGCTGAAGCCTGGCTACAGCGTGCGAACCTCACCGCAAGCAACGTGGTCTTCATGGGAATGGGCGAGCCCCTGCTGACGCTCGCATCGAAAAACTTTATGAGTCCCCGTGGCGGCGGGGGGGGCGCCGGGGGGGCGGCGGGGCCTTTTGGGGTTGGTTTCTTGGGACACCTAAGGGAGAACACCACCCAATGTGGTTGGCTTCGTAGCTTTAGGACGTGCGCTTCGGCTAAGAGCACTTGCCTTACATGGGAGACCGAGAAAACACACATGCTGAATAGCTATCAGTCTCCAACATGGGATGAATGAGTGACGGCATTCCGCCGGTTTTGACACCACTTGGACCAGCCTTAGGGTGATGTTCCTCTGTTTCAGCCGGGAGCCCTGCCTTCCGCGCGAGGAACTACTCCAACACCTTGGAAGCCTTGAACCTTCTCTGCCGCAGCCACAAGACAACCCTCTCCACCGTTGCTCGGCCATGGGTCGTAGCCTCCCCCCTCAGGACACCCATTTTAGTCGATTTTAGTGGGGATTGGGATGTTCACTGGGGGTACAGGGTTGTGACCCATAGCCATAGGTAGCCCAAAGCAGGGAGTCTTTCGACTTGATCCAAACAAAGGGCGTGCCCAAAAAGGCGTTCTCGGAATATTGAGAGCAACCAAAACACGGGACAATCAAGCGCCACCTCAGGCCCTGGTTGTTGTGTTTCGGGGAGCCATGACACCAGCCATTTGGAGGACCCTAGCTCCTTTGATGCAGGAATGTGTGGAACGTGAACTTGAAGAATATTATGCATATGTATGTACATGATATGCAAATACATATACACGCAACATGTATTTTTTTTCTTCTGTATATAATATGGCCGCGCCCTCCGCCCTCTAACCCCCTCTCCCCCCCCCAGCCTGGTATCCCCCCCCCCCACTCGCCACCCAGAGCCCCCGCCCTCTGCGCACCCTGGACCTGAGTTGCTCCGGGCTGGCTCCGCACTTTTTGGATATGTCCATTCCCTGACACCCCCGCTCACGCATTTGTTCATGCGTGCTTATTCTTCTTTTGTCACTTGTCAGAGAGCTAGTTTTCAATTAGCGTCCGTACCGCAGCAGTTTCTTCTAAACTTCCTTTCATAAGCAAGCACGCCAACTAAGACTAACCCAAACGCCAGCAAGCCCTAAAACCACTCCACAGGGCGGGCAGGCTATTCCCAAATCAATCTTTCAGATGCCCCAAGCCAACCCTAAGCCGACCGTAAAGCAACCCTAAACAATCCCGAAACCAACCCTAAACTCCCACCCACCATGCCGCAAAAGAGGGGGTATAGGGGGGGGGGGGAAGGGGGGGGGTTGGGGGGCTGGACCACATATATATATATATATATATATATATATATATATATGGTCCCCCCCCCCAAATCCACATTTTACTTCTTGCAAAAACAAAAAATGGAAAACATGGGTAAAATGCTTGTTTTGTTACCACGTGTTCCAGGATTAGATTCTGATCCTAGAAATGGTGGTCAAAAACAAGTATAATTCTTGATGAGCAAATCAGGAAAATATCATGTTTGATGAGCAGTTCAGAAAGTGACAATTCTTGATTTGCAGATGTTAGGCAACTTGAAGCAGATTGGACAGCCTTCTGGACAAAAAGTTAGCAGGGTTCGGATAAAACTTATGAAAGTGCTGTACTGTTCCTAAGATTCAGGCTTTAAAGGCTGAAAGTGCTGTACTGTTCCTAAAAAGCCTAAAATCCCATGCCAGAAATTGGGGCACTAGAGACAGCAGTAGGAACAGCAGCAGCAGCAGCCAAGGCGGGAAGACTGAGAGAGAAAGACAGAGAGAAGAGAGAAAGACGCAGGCGTGCCAGACGGCCAACCCCTACCACGAGTGGCGAGCCTCCCGTGTTCACGAGGTTTACCAACGGCTCGGAGGGAAGAGGGAGACCGCCTTCGACTCCGGGGCGCCGCTGGCAGAGTACCAAGGCGGGGGCGAGTGGCCGAGAGGCGGTGGCGCTCGCCGGCCGAGACGTGGGCCGATGCCGTGAACGAGGCCGCGGCAGGCCGCGGCAGGCCGGAGACAGAGCGCGCGGGCCCTTTGCGCAGAGGGTGGGGCGGACAAGGCCGCCCCTTAAGCCTTGAGTGTCTCGCCTGGAAGAGACCAAGGGATCGGCGCATCTAGTGTCCGACCCCACCTCCGTCTCACGTTTCTTGATAACCCGCCCTTCCCGCAATTTCCGGACTTGATCTAGAAACGGCCAATCACGAGGGCTTGCAGACCCCTTGTACGTAGAGAACAAACTTAACGAACTATGCCACGCTTTCTTTTTGTCCTTCGCTCGACCCCGCTCGATCGCTTGCCCGCCTCCTGACACGCGGCCGGAGAACGCCAGCCTGGAGCTGCAGAGGCCGCCATATGCTTCGGCAACCAGCGTTTGATTTTGGCAAGAGGACTTATCCACAGACAACCTTTTTGCTCAAATAAGGCCGAAGCCAAGCCAAGATTGAAAAAATAACCGGAGCTCCGCAGAGTGCCAGACAAAGATAGAGCCGCTTGCAGGAAAGTGAAGTAGGGAAGCCGTGTTTGACGTGGTTGTTGGGAGCTCGGAGAGCCTCGTCTGAGCGAGGAAACGTCTCACCTTCCCTTGTTTTTTTCGCAGCAGGTAAGAAGTACTCTGGGCCACTTCAAAGTGTCACGCATACCAACGTAGCTGAGGACCGGAAAAATAGACGGATCCAAGCACACGCAGCCAAAGGCGGACCCAAGTAGACACAGCCACCCGAGGGAAGTCGAAGCGAAGACTCATTTTTGCAGGGTAGGGGTGGCCCGCGCCGCTGAAGCTACGGCTTGGAGCAGTCAACCCACGGCCCAGGCGATGCCCTGTGGGCCGAAGGGCTCACCCTGGGAGCAGCCGCGGTGCTGCTGACCCGCGAAAAAGCAAGAGAGGCCCGCCAGAAATTGCTACAATGACTGCGCTGGCCGCGGCCCCTGCTGGAAAATCTGACGCGCGCCGCCAAGGAGCTGAAGTTCTGAAACCGACATGCGAGGTGCCGCAGGAAGACGGCGTGCAAGTCCGCGGGTCAAAGAACTGCCCAAAGTGCGGAGGCGCCGTCTTCCGTAGTTGGAGGTGTGCGACCTGGACAAGCCGCGAGCGCGCTGTTCAACCGCTCCTGCAACTAGCAGAGGGCGTGATGACCTCCCCCACAATTCAAGGATTTGCGTCCCCGGCCTGGAGCTGCCTCGGCGCGGGCGGCGGCTGGAGAGGGAGTGCCTGAGCGAGGCATTTGTCTCACCCGCATCATTGATCTTGGCAAGAAGACATATCCACAGACACCCTTGCCTTGCTCAAATCAAGCCGAAGTGACCAGGCCAAGATGGAAAAACAGACCGGGTTCCGCAGAGTGCCAAGATAGAGCCACTGGGAAGCTGTGTTTGACGTGGTTGTTGGGAATGCCTCGGCGAAGGCTGCTCGCGTCAAGGGCTGGCCACGTCCGAGATCGCGGCCAACCTGCAGACAGGAGCTGGGCTGTTGCAGTATCATTTCGCGCCGGAAGCGGCCCCCGCCACGGAGAAGCTGGGCATCCAGGACCTCCTCGGCTTGCTTGGAGAAGCGGGCAGCCACAAGTTCATGCAGGCTTGCGAGCTGCACAGTCCCTAAAAAACGTATTTTGTTAGACTGTTTCTGGCAGCTTTTTAGGAGGGCAAACTCCTTACAAACCAAAGAAAGTGCTGTGCTGTCCTTAAATGCCAGAATGAGTCTTGTGTGCCCAAGACGGTTTCTGGCGTGAGATCTTAGGGTATTTTAGGGACACAGTACACTTTTTGCATGCTCGTGCTCAAATGCTAAATTTGTGGTCTTGGGAAAGCAGTTGCAGATGTCTGTCACTCCGACAAACTAGCTGCTTTTCTTCCTTCGCCTCAAGCGCAAACCCTGTATCATATTGGATCGCTACTGGTGCAATGCCTGGAGCATGTTGCCGGTAGCCTGCCACATATTGGCGCCCCGTTGCCAGCACTCAAACTGAGCCGTTGGCGCGCTGGTGTCAGCCATCATGGCTTCGATGCTTTTAGAAGCATGTTCCACATATTTGACTTAATCATATGCCAGCTAGATGTTGATTTAGCCTTACATGTGGCATGTACCAATGAAGGTTAGAAGTCTTATTTTGAATCAGGTTTTACAGATTTTACCACCATATCAAAGCCATCAATTCAAATTTGGTTTGGTCTTAACCGAAACCCATTGCATCATATGCTGCATGGAACTGATGTACCAATGAAGGCATGGAAATGCATATATTGCACCAGAATATTCGGAATGCGCACGTGCGTGCCATACTGGCTAACACATATCTCGAATTGTAGATGTCTGACACATATATGTATATATGTATATACCTGTATAGACGCATACACGCTCCCCACCCATTAAACCATGTCGCGCTCTCACATTTTCAAGCCGCCAGAGTGATTTCGAGGATGTCTTAAACTCCAGACCCAGACTGACAGATCAACAAACTGGTTCATGTTTTGTTTTTTGTGGGGCAACCCATCGGGCCAATCACTGCCCTAGAATGGAATGATAATTGGAATGACCCTCAAAATTTCTGGTTTCCTAGGGATGAGCCCTTGAAACCATTTGCTCTGGTTTCCTTGAAGGGGAATCACGTTGGTGTCCTTTCTCCACCGAGCGAGGTGGGGGTGCCGCCTCTGCGGCGCCTGGCGGCCGCGGCGCCGCGGAACCTGCGGCTCGCCGTGTCGCTGCACGCGCCGCGCCAGGAGCTACGGGAGGAGCTGCTGCCGGTCGCCGGGCGCGCGCTGCGCCCGGGCGACAAGCGGGGGCTTTGGGTTTGGGTCGACGGACGGACGACTGGGGCCATGTGAGCCGCAAAAAAAACACGGGTGGATGAAGGTTAGTAAGGTTCGGAGTTTGCCGGGCCATGCGGCTGTGGGTCAAAAATAGGCTAACCCCCAAATGGAAGCGATTTGAGGTCGATGCGCCCCAAATAGTTCGGGGTAGTTTTGGGCGTTCAGGGAAGGTTCAGCAAATTCCGAGGCTGAAAATTTCACCAGAATTTATTTTTAGTAAGCCGGACTGGGATTGGGTCTTTTTGGGTATGGCTCCAAATTCGTCACCACCAGGGTTCCGCAGGTGTTCGTCCTTGTTTCCATCTACCGATCGGGCAACCCATTTTGCTGATCTATTTTTGATTCATAGCCATGTGGGTCTTTCATCAGGGGAACCCCAAGATGGGTGGAGGAAACCTTTAAGACGTCCCCATCTGGGTAGTTAAGCAAACCAATGCGCGGATCTGGCAAAGAAAACCAACATGTGTGTGTGTGTGTGACTGTGTGTGTTTATTGGGATCTCCAAGATGGAGGGGGAAACCTTAACCAAGGCCCCCAAAAAGGACCCAAAAAGACATGCCCATTTCTTTCAGCTATCAAAGTCACAAACCGGGAACCCCTTGAACCTACCACTTGACTTTGAGAAAGAGGGCCAAAAAAGGATGCCGCGCTGAGGAAGCTCGAGGAGTTGCTGTCCATTGTGCGGGGCTTCGAGGAATCCACCGGCTTCGGAGCGCTGATCCAGTACATCTTGATCAAAGGCGTGAACGACACAGAGGAAGATGCCAACCAGCTGGCTGAGCTCATTGCCGCGCATCTGCGATGCGCTGGCATCAACCTCATCCCCTACAATCCGACGCAGGCGGAATTGTTTGGGATTGACTTGGTGTTTTCTCCGCAAGCAAGGCGGAATCCCCATTGCGGATGGCGACATGGGTGTGTCTTGTTTAAGGCGCCCCCCCAAAATGGCTTTGGTTTCCCTTCCGGTTTTCCTTTTGAGGCCACGCAAAAAAAAGAAATGCTACTAAAAAGACGAGCCACCTGGATCTTGTGATAAAAGAGCATGAAGCGCCCTGCGCCCCTGCCTGATGCATGAGATCTATTTGAAGCCAAGGGATGTCTGAAGCCACAAACCACCTTTCAAGACAACAGGATGTCGCCCCCCTCCCTGACTTTCAGAAGGCCCAGGTAAGTTTCTGACTCCCAGCCCAAGATGTTCATCTTATCCCTTGGGTATCTTTCAGTCCACGCGGCACCTTCGGACTCCGTTTCTTCAAGTTTTGCTTGCTGGACCCTCCAAAACGGGATTCTTCTTGGGTGTCTCCCAGCACCATGCCCAGAAAAAGGGCTCGACAGGGGTTCAGATCGCTTGAATGTGCCTTTCGAATTGGGAACCCCTTTTGGGTTAGATTTAAAGGGACTCCAAAAGGACATCAGTCATCTTGAGGATCCCTTTTGAGAAACCCCCAGGTAGGCTCACCACACAGGGAAGCTTCCTTGGCCCCCCCGAGCGTCGGAGGCTGGGAGTAGCTTCGGGTACCAGTCGCCCTCAGACGCTGCCTGCAAGCGCTTTCGCCAGGCTCGCCGAGTCGGCGCAAAAAAGAGAGGGCAGGTGTTGGTGGCGATGTGACGTGGGATGGGAAAATGATCAAGCGCACTGTATTTCACGGTGTTTTGTTGTTTTATGGGTGTGGAAGTGCTGTGGACTAGGCGAAAACACGTTGTTGTTTTTTTAGTAGAATTCTGGCAACCTCTCAGAACATTGCATTTTACAGCAAATAGTTTACATACGTTTGTCGCAGTATTCTCTTCGTATTCAATTAGTATGGCCTTTTATTTCCTGAGAATTCACAATCATTCCCTGAATATTCCCGTAGCATTCCTCTATTCCCGTAGTATTCTCTTGGATGTAGGGCCCCCAGTATTTCCTTAATATTCCACAAGCATTTCCTCTTCCCCTACTATTCTCCCAGCATAATTTGGTAAAGTTACTAAAAAAGAAATCATAAGGGAAGAATTCAATGTGTTTAAATGTCTGCGGATTTGAAAAGACAGGCCTATTGGACTGGGAATGTGCAACATTTTATTTGCCATACGATATTGATTACTGCAATTCCAACTTCAAATGAAATACAGAATTAGATTATGTCCTACTAAAGTCTTGTAATTTCAGCTAGAAATTGAGTAGAGTTTGACAAAGGTCTTAAGTAGAATTCATAAAGGAAATCATGCAGAGTGGTTTGATTACCGTGTCCTGCTGGTGATGCAGGAGTCTTGCAATCCAGGATGCGCCCAAGTGCAATACTAAAGGGAGACAAGGGAGACAAGGGAGACTAATGGGTAGGGTGTGCAGTGGAGGCTTCAGGCACGGCGCCAAGGCGAAATGCACATTTTCCTGTCGCATCTGACACTGACCATCTCAGGAAACCAAAAAAACCTCGAAAAAAACAACAAAAGCAACAAATAACCAAAAAACTTGAACCCCCCCCCCAAAAAAAAATAATAAAATAAAATGAAAAGTAATATCTGGGAACTTTGTGGAAGACCACACCTGTGAAGACTCTCTGAATATCGATATTATCTTCTTTCTTTTTTTGTTTTCTCGAGTTTGTTTGGTGTTTCTTGTTTTTGATGTTATCTCAAGGTGTTTTTGGTTTTCTGAGATGGTCAGTGTCAGATGCGACAGGAAACTGTGCGTTTCGCCTAGGCGCCAGCACGTGCACATGCATAAAACCTTGGGCCTCTTCTGAAAAAAGAAGGGCCCTGTGGAAAGCCTTTAAGGATGCATTTGCCAATTTTGTAGCTGGTATAACGAGCTCACCAGGATAAAGAAAGCCCTGCTTTCGGATTTATGCTAAAACAAATCGATACACGGGTATGGGTGAAAGTTAGTGTTGACCCTTTTTGTATAACCAACCGGTTGATTCATAGGGGAGGTGGAGGCCCCTCCAAAAGTTGTTTGATTCCCCACCAAACCCAGAGACACCCCCCTATTCATAAACTGGGGTTTATCAACATGGGGTCAAAGTTAAGCTGAAAGGGGAGTCTGGGCGTTGGTCCCTGTCTCCATTTCGCAGGGCAACTCATTCTGGGTGCCAATCTTTGTGTCGTTTTTCAGGCTGCATATGTTCACCCTTTCAAGCAAAGCCCTGAAGGGAAACCGAAGCCCCCTGATGAGACACATATCCATGGGCCAGTTGAAGAATCGGCCACATACCAGCTGATTTAGGAACAGATCCCCTTATAAAGCAGGAGGTTGTTGGGCGTATCTTGTGAACTCCGTCAAACTGATTTAGTATCCCAAAAGGGAACAAAGGGGAACCACCTATTTTGTGGTTCTCTCGTTGGAGACAACCCTTTTCCTTCTGGGTTGAGCAGAATCCATCCGCAAGATCCTTCTGCCATACGGTAGTGGTTTCTCTTGTTGTCGTGGTGTCCCAGAACAGGTATTGGATTAGGATAAGGGATCCCCCTCCCCGTTTGAACAACGCGGTCAACCATGACGACATCCTCCCCAATTTCTGCTCCCATGTCCCAAGCACGAAATGTTGGTTTTCCTTTTGGTTTCCACGAACCTCGAAAAGGGGTTGCCAGAAGCTCGTTTCAGGTGCTACGGCAGCGGGGCTTCAATGCCACCATCCGCTTCTCCACGAAGCTGGGCCGGAGTTGGTCGGCGGCCTGCGGACAGCTGGGACTGGAAGGCTGAAGCAATAGGCCCCGAAGAGGGCGGAACATGCGGGTTGATAGGGTTGATCAACATTCCTTTTCGGGCCCCCAGTTTTGACCATGGGTAACTTTCCCCGTGTTGAAAGTAGCACATTTTTAGTGGTTCTCCCAATGGTCATCCCACGTAAAGGACCTTTTGATCAACCGCCGGTTCTTTGTTCAAGATCAAGGCGAAAATGGGTGGGAAGCTTTTGATAGTGTTGGTCCCAAATGGAATGAAAGGGCGGATGGACGCTTAGGATCTAAGCTGCAACAACAAATGGCCTGGTTTTGTTGCACACAGGCCCCTTCGAGAAGGTGCAGAGCCAGGAGAACGACTGGGATGCGGCCGGCCGCCCTTTGCCGTTCAAAGGCAAAGTGGCGGCCAATGCAGAACACGACGCCATGGCATGCTGGCCAAATCATTGCGGGCTGAAATCTTTCTACTCGAGTACTCGCAGCGCTCAGTATGGCGTAGAGCTCTGTGCCATGGCGAGGAAATCGCCGCAGAAAAGGCGGCGGCCGCCAAGCGACCAGACGCTGACAGCGCTCGACGGCAGACCTTTGCGGAAGCTGCCAGGAGCGCTCCCGTGGGTGCTGGCAGAGGAGCAGCCGCTGCTGCGCCAAGAGCCAGCTACGAGGAAGTGAATCCCGAGTTCTCAGGCGACAACAGCGCGCGGCAGAGCGACAAGAGCCGACTGGTTCTCCCAGTTCTACAAGCTCAAGAGAAGGGCTTGCCAACTTGCGCAGTGGCTTGTGCCTGATGGACAGCACGCGTGGAGGATGAGCGAGGCTGCTGGGTTTTGTCCACAGCACTATCAGGTAGCTCTTGATTGGTTGGGATTGGATTGTGGCTGGGTGGCGAAGGTCCGCGCATCTCTCGAGCTGGGTGGAGGGAGCCGTGTTCACCATGGACGCAGATGCCATGGCAGTGTTCGAGTTCAGGTGCCACCTTCTCGCAGAGAACTTGGCTCCTGGTACACCTTCAGAGCGCCGCCTTGAGCCGTTTGTCAGCCACATGAGCCAGAAGTGCGCCGAGGCTTCTGCACCAAGGTGCATGGATCGACCAGGGAACTGCCTGGAGCCCCTTGCGCCCGGAGCTACTGGCTGAAAGCCACGTGGGACCACTCAGCGCCAAGGGAGAGGAGCCCTTCAGGGCAGGGCGCGCTCGCTGCGTCTCACTGCGCGGCGTCTGGCGGCGCGCATGGCGCTGCTTCTTCGGCGCTCGCAATGCCTAAAGCAGCAGCAGCCGCTGCCAGACAGCGGCGGAGGCCGTGCCAAGGGGGGCTGCCTTTGCATGTGGAGCGCCACCACCGAACGGAGTGCAAAAAAGCACGGAATGGGACAGAGGCTGACCCGTATGGTGAACACTTAGGGTCTGTTTTGCAACTATCTTCTGTTGGGAGTATTTATTGGTGTTGAGTTTGAGTCTGCAAGATAGCCTCTAAGTGCGCGCGGCGCCTGGAATGTTCCAAGTCTTCCGTCCATGGGTAGGGGGTAGACACAAGAAATAGAAAAGTGGGGGACCCGGCCAGCACTCACTTGAGACTTCCATCAATGACCCAGTTGGCCATGGGTCAAAACCCAAATCGTACCGTGAACATCCGAACATCCCAATCCAACCACTTCTCATCGTAGCATTGGTTTTGAGCCACAGCCAGTTGACTTGAGCCTGACCTTGGCTCAGACTCAAGCCGAGCTGATTCCCCGCCATGGCGGGCAGCGGAAGCGGAGCCGTGGGCGATGCCAACTTCATGGCAGTGCTGCGGGCCACGGCGGCCGCCATTTCCTGCGCGGGCACCGCCACGCTGCAGGCCAGATGTGTGGATATCCTTTTTGGACCTCGGCCCAAAGCGAGCGTCTTTAGGAGTTCTCGCAGTTACTTTTGGGGGCATTAAAATATGTATATATCTATATATAGGCCGGTTTCCTCACCCCCGGAAGCAGTGGGTGATTGGAGGCAACGCCCAAACTTGTCGACCAAAACAGGTGGCTGGGGGGCACTATTGTTTCTCCCCAGCTTGTTTCTGGCCTCTATTTTTCCCGATCGCTTCCCAAAGCGATCGGCAAGGTGGATCAAAGTTGAGCCTGGGGATAGACCGAAGCACCGGACAGCCAACCCTCCAGGCTTGCTTGTACACAACCCTTGGGCAAATGAACCCAAAAGGCCTGCGGATGTTCATACCCCTCTCCCCAAAACGGGTAAAACACCCTTCTAGAGTGGCTTGGGGTTTCCAGGGAAGCAAAGGGGGTGTGTACTTCCACTCCTTAAAAAGCAACTTGTCTGCAGTTGTCCTTCTTTCATGCTGTTTAGGCACAGCATTCAGGTGCGACTTCTTTAGCTTCCAAAGTCTTGCACCCATGCTTCGATGTTCTTTAAGTTTGCCACCCTCAGCAACCCGAAGCGAATGCCCCTCTCCCCAAAACTGGTGTACACCCCTAAAGTGGCTTGGGGTTTCCAGGGCTATGAACAAGGGGCACCAGGGGCATCTACTTCCCTCCGCAACCCGAGCGGTTCGTCTCTCGGTTCGGTTCGAGGCGCGGCAGCTGCTGATCACCCAGACGGCCCAGCCCCTGGGGGAGGAGGCGGTGGTCCAGGCCACCAGCGGCTTGGCCACCGCCTACTCCCTGGGCAGCGCCTGGGCTCGAGAGATGTGGATGGGGGGGGGGAGGGGTGCCATGCACACCTAGAGTCGAATTATTTTGCAGCCAAGAGCCCGAAGAAACCAACACACTAAATGAAGGTTGCAAAATAGACTTCAACTGCCCGTCATACGGGGGAGGGCGGGGGGGGGGGGGGGTCAAACGGGGTGTCGCTGGTTTGGGGGGGAAAATCACCTGTTTGGGGGGGACCACTTGCTTTTTGGGGGTCAGCGCCTTTCTTTGCTGAGGGTGAGTCATGTTTAATGTTTAGCGGAAACCAACAAGCTTCTTTTTCTTGGGGGGAGGGGGGGCAGAGGGGGGGGGGGGGGGAGGGGGGGAGGGGGGGAGGGGGGGGGAGGGAGGGGGGGGGGGGGGGGGGGAGGGGGGGGGGGGGGGGGGGGGAGGGGGGGGGAGGGGGGGGGGGGGGGAGGGGGGGAGGGGGGAGGGGAGGGGGGGAGGGGGGGGAGGGGGAGGGGGAGGGGGGGGGAGGGGGGGGAGGGGGGGGGAGGGGGGGGAGGGGGGGGGAGGGGGAGGGGGGGGGAGGGGGAGGGAGGGGGACCCTCTTGGTCGATCTCAAAGGGGGGAACCAAAAGGAAACCAACCATTTTTGGGGTCCCTAATAAACACATACAAATTTAGCTAAGATGGGATTCGGGCCTCTTTGTACTTCAAGGAAACCGGGAAGCTGTTGCCTTTTGAGAAACCTCCGGTGAGGTTTGGTTTGCTTTGGCTTTTGTGTGTTTTTGGTTTATTTTGTTCAGGGCCCCCCACAGATTCACACGGAACAGACAAAACAATCTTAGAGGAATCTCTTTTTGGGAGTTAGCCTTTCAACACTTGCACAGAGAGGGAGGGAGCGGGAGAGGGAAAGGGAAAGGGGAGAAAAGGGGGGAGGGAGGAAGTATTTGATCATATTCAACTACAAATGAATTATGAAATCATTTATCACATAAGTTTATTTAAATTGGTTTAAAATATGATATTATATGTACACATTACATGGGGGAGGGAGTTGGTGCAAAAACATGGCAGAGGCGTGGTGGAGTTTTTCTTGAGCCCCGTCTTCGGGAGCCTCTCGGAGCGCTACGGCCGCAAGCCCATGGTGCTTTTCCTGATGATCGGGCCGGCCATCATGCGCGTTCTCTGCGCCACGGTGACCCAGCCGGTGGCCAGAATCCGGCTGCTGACGCTTGGACTGGAAGAGCTAAGCGTGGCTGTGGGTCCAAACCGTTTTGGGATCCCATTTTGGGGTAGGTGAATTCACCACCCGTTTCAGAATCTATTTTAGTGGTCAATGTCGGATTCTTCCGCAGGACCGGAAGTTGGGGGAATCCTCAAACTCTCATAGTCCTTTGGATCAATCCGAATCTGAAATTACGCAGTTTTTTGGTGTTTTTTTCCCCCACTCCCAGCAGGATCCTCACATTTGACCTCAAAGAACATGCAGTTTTTCCCAGTGAGGTGGCTGGACTTTGCTTCTGCCCGAGCTGTCGGCGCTTTGGCAGCAACTCGTGGCTTCAGAAGCCGGCACCGAAAGGTACTTGAAGGCTGGGGGACATTCCCCAGCCACGGTTCGACGCTGCCTTCCACCCAACATCCTTTGGTCTTGGGCTCATATTCTGCCGGATTTTGAGTCTCGAGGGCTGATGTCGTGTGCCAGTGAGGGCATAGCCCCGGGGTTGTGCTTATGCTTCCATCTTCTGGGCAGGCTTGGCCAAACACCGACTGTATATATATATATATGCTACCCCCCCCCCCCAGGGACCTACCTTTTGGTTGCCTCTCCAGTGCATGATTTGCACATCTAGGACTGGGAGGAACGATCTCTCAACTAGGACCACGACCAAATGAGACTAGAACCCAGGATCTCTCAACTGGGACTAGGACCAAACTAGGACTAGACGACCCACCTCAGATTCTTACAAAAAAATAACGCCCCACCTCAGATTCTTACAAAAAAATAAGTTTCGAGTATAACTTCCTCTGTAATGTCCTGTATACTTTCTAATTATTGCAGTAAACTAGGGAGCAACCTAGCACTAGAACCAAGGATCTCTCATCTAGGACCAAACTAGGACTAGACCATTCAGCTCTACTTCTTATAGTATTTGGATGTCAAGCATGACATTATGGTGGAAAGAAAGTCATGTTTAATATTTGGCTTGAAACAGAATAACCATAAATTATGACTATATATGTTCTTTACTTTATTCTACTGTTCAGTTAGCAGATGCATAGAAATTGAGTAATATATTAACTACAATTCATAAGGAACTTCCTTTGCATTGTCCTTTGTACGTTCTATTTATTTCAGTAAGCTAGGACCATACTAGGCCTAGAACCAAGGATCTCCCAACTAGGACTAGGACCAAAATAGGACTAGACCATCTAAGAATTTCACTCTAGTTCTGAAAGTGATTGAATTTCAAGTACAATGTTCTATTGGACAGGAAATCGGTTGTACCATGTAGTTTGACATAGAACAATCAGTACTTAAGTTCGAATCTAAATCGAAATTCTGGCTGGAGTATGTCCTTCTTAAGCTTCATTGAATTTCAAACAGAAATTGGGTCGAATGTGATAAAAAAAAAAAAAAACATATTAAGTGGAATTCATAAGGAAAGAATCCCAAGGTCCAAAACTTGTCTTTTCACGAAAGCTAGCTTTAGCTAGCTGAAGTTTCTCCTTGCGTAAGCAAGGTAAGGGGCTCAAATGCCGAAAGATTGATTTTTTCAATTATTTGAGCCGAAAAGATTGAAAAACATCAATTATTTAGACCCCCCCCCCCTCCCCCCCCCCCGGGTCTCAGGCTCGATTCCTCCCTGGTCCATCCCCCCCCCCCCGGGCAGTGGCTCAGTGTTCAGCAGTCTCGGTTTGCCCGTTTTGGACTTGGTGCTACGAACTTTTACATGTTCCACCGATTCAGCTTGTTCATTTGAGACCTCAGTCTTCTCGGTAAACCACCTCGCAAGAATCTTTGCACACGCAGCATGCAGAACCCAGAGGTGCTTTCAGACAGCTTCTGACGCCTCTCGTTGTTTTCATTTTTCAAGGTTTGCCACGCCACCATATGCGTTTGCGTGTCGCATCCTACGAATCTTGCCGGGCCTCTCGTTGTACACAAGCTACCTATGAATCCACTCTGTCACCGACCCATCTCATGCAACAACTGCTAGCTTTCGTTCACCCGCTCCTCAAGTCACTAGTCCTAGCACTACCATGGTCAGAAAACACCGTAAAACACAGTGTTGTGTTGTGTTTTTCATACTCAATTCACATCTGCACCAACGAACACTCGCTAAATGCTCGTTTGAATTTGAACACGATTTAATTGGGACTCAATAATGAAATATTTGGTCAGAATCCTAATGGTAATCAAATCTGAAATATCGAGTTTAAATAGAGTTCCTTTCCCAATATGTACCTACAATTGAATTAGAGCTTTCACAGGATTTGATAAGGAAAGAACCCAAGCCTGTATTCAACATTCAAGAATCAATATTCTCTAGACAAGTCTTCTTTGCAAACGCGAGTCCAGGCTCGAGTGAAACCCATTGAAACCAACTGAAATTTCAGTTGAGCCTAGGTGCAAGATTCCCTAGAAAACTTTGGCCTACAATCTTGAATGTGGGCCAAGATTGAAAAATATTGAATGAAAAATCAGGACTTGGATGCTTGCACAACACTGTGCCAAAGTACAGCCGCGCAAAGTGCAATGTTGAATTTGGGTCTCGATTTAAACCGATTTAAACCGATTTAAGCTTAAATCAGGCATGGATTCAAGATTCAAGATTCAAGAATCCAGGCCAAACTTTTCCAGGGAATCTTGAATCCAGGCCTCGATTTAAACCGATTTAAACCGATTCAACTTAAATCGAGCATGGATTCAAGATTCAAGATTCAAGAATCCAGGCCAACATTTTTTCAGGGAGTCTTGAATCTTGAATCTTGAATCCATGCCCGATTTAAGTTAAATCGGTTTAAATCGGTTTAAATCGAGGACTGGATTCAAGACTCCCTGCAAAAGTTTGGCCTGGATTCTTGAATCTTGAATCTTGAATCCATGCCCGATTTAAGTTAAATCGGCTTAAATCGGTTTAAATCAAGCCTGAAGCTTCCAGAACGTCCTTGGAAATGCTTATTTTTCACTGCTCTCCCCAACGCCCAAAAAGGGTAGAACACACTGCAAATACCAGTTAACTCTTCAAAAAGGTAGGTCCCTGGGAGGGGGGTACAATATATATATATATATATATATATATATATATTATGCGGGTGTTGTATAGATAGGTATGGACGACCTTATTATGGTTCTCCGTAGCTTAGCCACTACACCTTTTCCAGGGTACACATCCTTTGCATATTTTGCAACTATTCCAAACCCGCGACTCGGCTCAGCGATCCAAAAGCAAATCGGACCTATGAGCTCTGTTTTTTTGACGGGTGAGCTCGTTTGCAGATCCTTTGGGCCGAGGTATCCAGCCCTTCCTGGGCATGTGCAACACCATGATCAGCGACGCCTACACCGTGGATGCCCAGCCTCCGGCCCGATCCCAACTGGCCGCCGCCATGGTGACCTGGCGGAATGGTGGTAGCCACGGGATGGTGACCTTGTGTGGGGTGAGGTGGGGTGGGGTGGGGTGGGGTGGGGTGGGGTGGGGTGGGGTGGGGTGGGGTGGGGTGGGGTGGGGTGGGGTGGGGTGGGGTGGGGTGGGGTGGGGTGGGGTGGGGTGGGGTGGGGTGGGGTGGGGTGGGGTGGGGGTGGGGTGGGGTGGGGTGGGGTGGGGTGGGGTGGGGTGGGGTGGGGCGGGGGGCCTCAGTTGTCACTAGTGACTGGGAGGCTACAATGGCTCTGAGTCAGTGTTAGAACCAAGGGGAGCAGGACCTTGGCAACCAGCGGCTTGAGAAACTCTCGGGGTGGTAGGACAAGGAAACCAAATACCAAATTCCAGCAACTGCATCGAGTTCCTCTCAGGGCCCAGAGGTTTGCCGGTGCATCCCTCATCCCGAATCAGTTCTTAAAATTCATGGAAGGGGGGGAGGGGTTTCGGCGCCTTTCATGGGGCACCTGCATTTTTTGCCAAGGGTAAAGATGCCGGGAGGGTGGCCTCTGAAGCTGGGCTTGTTACATCCGAAGACGAGCCCTCGGGCTGGATCTGTGGAACTTGCAGACAGCTGCTTTGGGGGAGTCCGACTGTTTGGCAGGTACCAAAGGGGATTGTTCAAAAGGGAAAGGAGGGGTATTTATTTTAGGATTAGTTTTTCGTTTTTTTTTTTTTTTTTTTTTTTTTTTTTTTCGTGTTCAAAAGGGAAACCACGGGTTCTCCGCCCATGGGGTCTGAGGTGACAACACCACTTCGTGCTTGCGCATCGTTGTCAAAACTAGGGGACCCCTGGTGCGGGCTATAGATTGACACCGAGCATTTGGACGGGGTCTCAGCACAGTTCGGCGAAAGTAAATGGCGGAACTACCAAGTGCTGCCAACCATGTTGGTTGTCTTAGATCCGCGGATTTGTTTGCTTAACTACCCAGATGGGGATGTTTTTTTGACGGTACCCCCAATTTTTGTGTTTTGAAAGGGAAACCAAAAGGACAACCCACCATGTTGGGCCCTAAAAGACACCCAGATCTACCGCCCACCATTTTGCCCCTCCCCCCCCTCCCTACCGCGCCAATCCATTGCCTCCCAAAATCGCGGTTCGCCAGGCTTTCGGCAGCATCCTCGGGAACTACTTGTCGGGCTGGTACAATGCCAAGGCGAAGCTTTGGCTTGGGCTGACCTTAACTAGGTCCCCCAGTTGTTCCCTTTTACCGTTTCTTTTTTGGGGGAGGGTTCCCCTACCAAAATAGACTACGGAAAAAAAAGGGGAAAAAACGGGTACCCTTATTCTAGCCTCTCTACTGGAGGACCTAGTTAAACCTTGGCACCAGAGTGACAAATATGGTGCAATCTCCTTGCGGGTACATAAAAAAAACAACTGAAAGAAGCTTGGGGGAATTGTGCCATCTACTTTCATCCAACTGTAACCTTTCCGCCAGCCAACAAAAAGTGCTAATCTGTCGGGGTCCAAGACCAGCCGAGGAAAGATCCAAGTCTTGGTCTCATACCAAGACTGCCAAAGGATCTCAAAACCTGATTGCAAACATGGGGATGTCTATTCTTGAAGGCACCCTTTAAAAGGAAGACAACAGAAATCCGGAGAACCAGCATGTTCAAGGTGTCGAATCTTTCTTTTCAGACAGAATTTCTGGGTTGCCGTGGGTTTTTCATCGCAGGCGGGCCCTCAGTCCACCTACCTTGCGACGGCCGCCGTGCCTATGATGTCGCTGCTCTTTGCCTCACTGTGCCTGCCGGAGACTCACCGGCAGCGCACCACGGCCGCTCTGGAAAACAAGAAGGAGAAGCACGTCCCTCAAGAACGCACACATCCAGATGGCGGATTTGTTTGGGTTAAAAGAAAAAATGAAACCAAAGGAACACTCTTGCCATGTTGAGGGCGCCAATTCGTTTTTTTCTTCTCCGAGAAACCCGGACCAGGCGGAACATGGTAATCAGTTGACTCAAGATGTCTGTAGGCAAATGTTAGCTTTCCCAAGCTGAACGGATTCGTCCTTCCTATTCTCATGTCCTTGACACATTTGTATCCACACTCCAGTCCCGGCTTCAGAGACTTCGTGACCCGTGGATGGACGGAATCCGTTTCGCACCAGTTGGGAACGGTGCAGCCAAACGGTGCAGCCCTACTGTGGATAGACGAAATCTTGCACCACCAAAGAAACCCTGGAATGATGATTCCCCTGTAAATACCAACAAACCATGGTTTCCCACGGTTTCAAAGTGGTGCAGGATTTTGTCCATCCACAGTATGACTACTGGGATACATCACCTTACAGGTGGCAATCGGCGTGGAGTTTGCGGCCCAGCTGCTTTTCGCTCGCATCACTCCTTCCGCAGGAGGCGAAGAAGTCGCATTTCTCGCTGCTGCTGGACCCCGAGTGTTTCCTTCTGGCTGGGGCCCTGGGCCTCTACGAGTTCATGACCTACCCACCCATGAACTCGGTGGCCATTTTGTTCATGAAGGAGCGCACAGAAAAAGACGTGCTTCCGGCTAGGATCTGGCTTTCGCTGGAATGTGATGATCATCAGTGATGAGTCAAACTGGACTGAGCACGCATCCGTTGACACTATGATAGTAAGAACGATCACTTGCCCCCTTTGCCGGCCTCGCTGTGCATGTTTTGCACATGTTGTTGGGTTCTTTTCAGTTGGGGGGGGGGGGGGGTGCGAAGAAGAGTCAGCTGTTTCATGACAAACCAAGGCTTGAGATTCATGGTTCATTTTGTTCACGCCCCTTCCTGGTGAGAAGGCGAGTGGGTAAAGGGGAGGCGAGTGAGACGAGGTTCTTCTCCCTTCCTGGGGCCTCCAAAGGCTCGTCCCTCACAAGGGGCTAGGCTTCCTTCGGCCCCCTCTTGATCCCTATTGGGTTCATGTTTCTTTGCATAGAGCAGCCGACTTTTTTTTCTGGTAGCCAAGTAGTAGTTTGAAAGGCCATGGGCCCAACTTTCCCATGTGCTCTTGGGGAAAACCAGGGCCCACAAAAAGATGAGGTTTAAGACCTAGTGGAGAAATAGAGTCGCTAGTGGCTACTCAATCCTTTATAAACACTACAGGAGGTTCAGAAGAGATTCCATGCGCATGTGACCCACAGAATGAGTGAATGGACCCAGGCCCAAGGGTGCCGAGCCACAAAAACTCAAGAACCACTTGTACACTGTTCAAACTCGCGGCTGTTTTACCCTTGCTTCCCCTTTCTTCAGATTGCCCCTTCCTGATGTTCTTTTCTTTTGGTGTCGAGAAACCAAGAAAGTCGTGGCTCTCTTTTTGATATATATATATATATATGTATTGGTGTTTTCTTTTTTTGGGGGGGGGACACCAAAAGGAACATCCGTTGTGCTCTTTGGAGGTTCCAAAAAGGGCCGCGCCGCCAGGAGCGCCTGGGCTGGGGCCCGCTGCAGGCGGGGCGCTTCGCCTCGGGCCACGCGCTGGCGGTGTTCAGCGGCTCACTGCTGGCGGGGAGGCGGGGGGTCCTTTTTGGGAGTCGGAACCCCGCAAAAAAGTCGTGGGTGTTCCTCTTAGTGTCCCTTTAAAGCCGCAAACAAGTCGTGGGTGTCCCTCTTGGTGTCCCTTTTCAAGCCACACAAATTGTGGTTTGCCCTCTTGGTGTCCCGCTGGCGCTCTTGAACAATTGCTTCCAGATTCCGTTTGTGTCCCACTCCCATTTCAAGTTACCCATTCTCCACAAGCTCCAGTGCAACAACGCGGTTTCTCAGGGATTTGTCCCTGCCATCCCATGTTCCACATGGTTCAAGCGCAACAACATCTGGGCCTCAGGGACTTGTCCCCCTTTGTAATTTTCCACAAACGCAAGTTCAACGACACCGCTTGCCTCGCCTTTTTTGTTTTCTCGTTTTTGCTTTTCGCTTTTGGATCGCAGGTTGATCCGAGTTCTGGGGAAGCAGCTCTACGTGAGCATGGCCAACATGCTCACGGCTTTGGCCTTCTTCCTGTGGGCCACCGCCCGCAGCGGGCCGCAGCTCATCGCCTGCCTGCTGCCGCTGGCGCTTGGCACAGGCCTGACGTGCCAGCCAACAACCCCGCAGGCTTTTTTTCTTATTATATACATATAAGTGCATCTCTATATATAAAGCTTGAAGAATGTGCATATGTAAGATGATGTTTCGGCCGAAACATATGTATACCTGTCATTTGTATACATATATATATATACACACATCTATGTACATATGCAAATATATATACATATATGTATTTATGATTATATGTCTACATACATGAACAGAAACATACTTGTTGAGACTGGAAGCTGACTTTGATTTTGGGATTCCTTTTGGTTGCGGACACGCTGACGATACTCAGCACTCGGCGGCAGGAGGCTTGCAGGGCGAAGGTGGCTTGAAGAACCGGACCCTGGCCCCCTTTGCTTCCCCAGAACTAGCTCCCGTTTTTCCCCCCCCCCAACAGCTGAAAGCTTTGGGGTCTCAGCCCAGATAGGCTCCGGGGTGGTCCGGGGCGGCCCTGAGGTAAGGTTCCACGAGGGTTCCACGAGGGTTCCACCAGATTTCCACCAGGGTTCCACGAGGTTCTGCGAGGGCTGCGGGGTGGTGCGAGCACTAAAAAGAGCACCACATGTTGGGGATATCACCTGAGCTTATTTTTTCTCGGGGTCCCCTTTGTTTTCCACCAACCAGGCAACAAATATAGTTTTTTTGCCGGGGTCCTAATTCCAGCCAAGTTTAAAGGGACACCAAAAGGAGGTTGAAACAAGAAAGGGCTTGAATCATTCAACCCTGGCTGTAGTATGGCACTCCTGAACACGTGTCACATCAATGCTCTCATGTTTGGAAACTCATCGATAGTCTCCCCACGTTGGCATCAAATCACAACAGCCATGTCGTGTTCCCATTGTCAAATGGTGTGGCTTGCGGCTGGTCGAAGGTCTGGGCCATTTCAATCTCGAATGCAGTCGACTTTGCAACCTCCTGGTCACAAGAGACACCTGCAAACCTACCATTCGGATGAGCTCCCCAAGAAAGACTTTTTGAGTGAGGGTTTGGTCTCGGACCTTGGGTATTTCCATGTTGAAGTGGGGATTGCAGAGAGGCAGCAGTTGCCGGCCAACGATTGAATTATCCTGGATCGCCAGTTGCTGCTTTTTGTCCATGAACTTTACCCCAAACACCAGCAACAGTGACTGAAAAAGGCAGCAACTTGGCGATCTAGGGTGGTGGTTTCCCAAGAAGCACTTTTTGAGGGAGGGCTTGGTCTCGGATGGGACGACACTTTTAGCTTGACCTTGGGTTTTCCATGTGAAAGTGGAGACTGAAGAGCGAGGCAGGATTTGCCGGACAAGAGTTGAGTTGTCCTGGATCGCCATGAACTTTACCCAAAAACCCAGCACCAGTGACTGAAAAAAGCAGCACCTTGGCGATCTAGGGTGGCTGTTCTTGGTCCCACGCATGTTGAATTTGGAGACTGCCGGAGGTGGCAACTCTGTGCTGCTCACGCGCTTTGTCGAGCGGGCGGAGAGCCTGGGCGTCTCCCGCGGAGAGGTGGGCGACTTGCGAGCGATCCGAAGCGCGGGTTGTGACTTTCTCTCTCTTTCTCTCAATCGGCCTGCTCAAGGCAAGCGTAGCCTAAGACATGCATTGTGGGGAGGACATGCAATGTGGGTTGGGACTTTACCGATGTTGGGCGGGGCAACTCAACACAATTTTTCCTCCCACCAACATGGTACCCAACAGGGTATCTCCCAAGAGGAAACGGGATTTTCCAGGTATGTCGCAGGCGCCAGGTTTGTGGGAAGGATGCTCAACGAATCGAATGGCGCTCCTTTCCAGTCCCTTTGAACGTGTGTGATTATTTAGGGGCGGAATCCAAAAGTCCCAACCCGGCTTTTAGCATGGATCTCTCCCAAAATTCTTTGGCCCAGGTGGTTATGAACTTCGGGTATAAATCCCCATGAGAATGAATCAAGTTACTCCCAATTGGTGGCTTGGATTGGTGGGTGTGGCTCAAAAATGGGGTCCAAAATAGAACCCTGCTAAATGGAAAGGTAGACTAAAACCTGCGTAACCCCAGCTCATTGATTTTGACCCGCACCCTGGTAGGGGCTTGAGGGTAAGTGGGAGACCACCCCAAAAAGAACCTCACCAAGCCAAGCTTCCAATTAGGACGTTGATCTGGGTCGGGGAAAAGTGGGTGGGTTTCCCAATGGGCTTCCCAAGAGAGACAGCCTCCGCCCAAAAATGGTACCCTCTCCAAAAAGGACAGACCCATATTGGCGTGTTTCTTCTTCACCTTTTTGTGGAAACCAAGGGAACGCCTCCATGGATTGGTGACTTTGCATTGCTCCATTGGCAAACCAAATCGGGTCGACCTACGCATCCAGTGTGTTTCAGAAAAGGACAGATGGCGTGTTTCAGAGACAGCCTACGCCCAACAACAAAAAGGAAAGAAAACAAGGAAACCACAAAAATAAACTAGGGGTCGTTCCAATTCTCCTGCCCTGCATCTTTCTCGCACCGAGCGCCGTAAAAACGCCTCCTCGCCCCAAAAAAACGCCGATGCGACCAAAGCGCTCCACGCCGGATCGATCGGTGCAGGCCACCGGCGTAGTGCAGGCCATCGGCGCGGTCGCACGCATGGCCGCGCCCCAGCTCTTCACCCGGCGCCTCGCTTGGACGTCTACTCCCCGAAAAAAGGAAGACGACGCCCTAAACCCTATGGCCGGATTCCTGTCGGCTTCTCCAAGTAATTAATTCCAAGAAAAGAAACCCTCCTAAAAAGACGCCTCAAAATAGCAGTGTTTCTGTGGGTTTTGCTTGAAGCACTCTCAAGAAGGGACCCCTTCGAAAAGACACGCCCCAAGTTCGTGACTTGACTTAGTTGTGGAATATTGCGGGGACTCTCAATATTCTCAGGATTTGCTTTTCAAGGTGAAATTCAACCCTCGAATCTTTTAGTTGCAATGGCCCAAGGATGTTGTTTGAATGGTGGTTTGTGCTTTAAACCAAAAACAGAAGGAGAACAAAAACATGGCAATTCCCACTTTCCCCGGCCGTCCAGAGGTGCAGGAACTTTGAATCGACCGTACCCAGCTCTTTAGTTGTACTCCAAGAACCTTTTAGTTTTGATGGCCTTCTTTGGAACCTTGAAGTACAACTAAAGAACACCCAACTTGAAGGAACGCTTTGAACCCAACTTTCTCCCCCCTCCCCCCCCCCCCCCCACCCAAACCGCCCTCAAGCCGCCCGCCACGATCCCCAAGTGCTCAAGCCGCTCGATCCGGCGCCCAGGCTCTGGCTGCGCGCCAAGGCGGGCGCTTCATTGCCCTTGGGCGCCCCCCTCTTCTCCGTGAGCGCCATCGCGCTCATGCAGGACCCCCCAAAACCCCCCCAAAACCCCGTGGCGTGGACACGTAGAGGCTATTTTGCAGCCAAAAAAACCCTAAAAACCATAGCCTGAGTGAAGGAGGTTGCAAAATAGACCCCCCCAAACGGGATTTCTCCTTTTGGTGTTCCCTAAAAAACTGACCTCGAAAAGGGCTACCCTCAAGACATCCACGCCCACATGCCGAAAGGAAGTGCTTCATCGGGGTGCGCTGCTTGTGCGGAAGTGAGCATTCGCATACGCTGGCCACACGAGCGGACAAATTGAAACCGGCTTTCTGCTTCGAGAGACTCTTTTGGCCTCCATAGGTGAGCTTCCCTGGGTCAAGTAAGGGGAGTCATAGGGAGCCTTTTGCTGGGAACGCATTCCCCGCTGAATGATGGGCAGTTGAGCCATGAGGGTTGCACCCAAGGAGTCGAGGTTTCGGTTGCTCTACAATCGCCGTGACATTTGGCTCAAAAGCGATGGAATCCCAGCTTGCGTGGGAACACGTTTCTTTGCCTACATTGAAGCTGAGGAAGGCCGCCCGGACCATTTGCCTTCAGGTTGCATATGCTTGGTGGGGTACAATTTGTCCTGCCATGATTTGTCATGCCATCATCGTGTTGAGCTGCAGTTCCTGAAGATGCTCGTGATATCTTGTGCCACCCATTCTAGCACGTAGCCTGCATCCCGCTTCAACCACCGGCAGCAACGGCCGCCTTGGAAGATGCCGCTGCCTCGGCATCGGAATTTTAAACCGAGAATTTATAAGCCCCAAACAGGATCAATAGGGATTGTCTCAGCGTTGAGGGGTTTGTTGGGGGGGACCCCTCTATGCATCCACCTGGGGTCAAATATTGCTGGAAACTTCCCTCACTCGCACCAGGGCATTCTGATCGCTGCCTGAACCTTTGGTCCCAGGTCGCGATGAACTGTGCCGAGGGGCCGCAGGCAGGCTGTTCTTTTGCGACACGTTGGCTGACGCATCCTTCTCTCATCTGAGTGTTCAACGGTTACTGAGATTCTGCCATGCGTCGCGTGTCTGCTTTTATTGCCGAAAAAAAGTCACCCTTCCTTCGCTCAAGTGGCCCGGCATTGATGTGAATGCATGTTATTGCTTTGCACGCAAAGGCAACTGGAAGACTGTTTCTTCGGCGCAGGTGCTTGTGTGTGTGTGTTTGCTGACGGGCTTGCTTGTTTGTTTCCCCCCCCCCCCCCCGGGGCCCCCCCCGGTGCTTGTGTGCCTTTGCGGTTGCGTGGTTGTACTGTTTGTGTGTGTGTGTGCTGCGGCATCAACTTGTGAGGCATTCTCTGTTAATGTTCATGTAAACATGAATTTGCATGGCACCTGCTCGCGCATGGCTTGGCTCAAGAAACAGCAACGATGAGAAACTCCCGAGGAGCATCTCGGCCAATTGGGTATATCGCCTGTTGAAACTGTTTGAAGTTGAGAGATGAGCTGAGCTTTCCTGTCGCTCATGTATTTTGAGCGACTCAATCGGAAAGATTAAATGGTCCGCTTTGTCAGTTTGAGGGAGGGCCCTGGCTTGCATCTAGAGGCTACTGCGCTCACTCAACGGAGGTTTCGGCACGGTTTCGGGCAGTTGGGCTGACGAGCTTCATGAACTGGCGCTGAAAAAACCGTCAGAAGGCTGAGGCTTGGAAACTGAGGGCGGGCAGAGGCGGCTGAGGGAAAGCGCATCGCAAGCCGAGGCTTCTCTCCAAGCTGTTCCTAGGAACCTTGGTTGCAGTCAGAAACTCCAAGCTCGAAGCAAACATTGGTTTTGCAGCTTGCGGCTGGTTTAGGCCTTCACTCTAAGGCCTGCCCAATACCTTTAGAATGTTGTGTCTTGGCCGCAGTGATTTTAGAAGCCTACTTTGGCAGCGAAGCGCTTTGCTGGTCTCTTTGAGATGCACAGAACTGGAAGCAAATCGCTGTCCTGACTAAGTCCATGGCTTTCCATATTTGCGCTGACGGTCGCTGGAGATGCCGCAGACATGCATCGCTCCAGCCGCGTCATGAGGACGCGCAGTTTGGTTGCGGCAACCGACGAACGACTGCCGCATTCGGGGATGTTGGTCGGGTGCTCTCGCCTGCTCTCTTTTTCTCCTCTCTGGCAGGTTCGTTGTGCTTTTTCTGGAATGTCAACCCTCTTGGGCGCGGAATCTGACGACTGGAGTGCTTTGGAACGCAGTCCTCTTAAAAAACCCGAAGCTGTCCATCTTATCATGATTGTTGGATCGAGGGTACGAACCTTCTCAAACTCAGGGGGCCTTTCTGGCTGTCAGGACGCAGCGGCATGAGACGTTGGAGATTTCAGGCTGGTGCTCACTCGCAGTGATCATGCGGGTGTGGGTCAAAATTAAACCACCTGAGGGCCGGAGATGTTAGTCCTTGGTTCCATTTACCAGGGTTTTATTTTGGGTTTTTGAACCATTTTTGACCCATTCCATTTTTGGAACCATTCCTTTGTGCCAGTTTAAATGGAACCATTCGATTTTTGACCCACAGCCATGCAATGTTCTCAACGGTTGAAACGCGCGTCAGGCGATGCTCACTTCAGCCTGGCCGAAGGCGAACGCCTCTTGCCAAGGAATCGGCAGGCGTACTGTGGATGGACAAAATCCTGCACCACTTTGAAACCATGTGAAACCAGGGTTTGTGGAATCATCATTCCAGGGTTTCTTATGCGGCGATTGTGGCGCAGGATTTCATCCATCCACAGTAGGACCGGCAGATTGGCATGTCTCGGGGAAATCTGCAGTCGGGGAAAGGAACCCGTTCCGGGTTTCTTCTGTTCATTTGCAGGGGGGAAAACGACACCCCTCAGAAGCGGACCGTCTGTAGGGGGTTTTCCGTGTCTCTCTTTTGGCGTAATTTTGAAGGACGACGACTAGCAACCCGCGCATTTGGAGGCGTCCATTTCCCCTCCCAGTCTGCCCAGCCTGCCCAGTCTCAGTCTGTCCAGTCTGCCAAGTCTGCCAAGTCTACCAAGTCTGCCTGGAACCCTGACCGAGGTTCTACCTCAAACCTCGGTGACGGCATCGGTGATGCCGAGGAGGCTGCCCTAAACTTAGCACTGGAAAGCCATTCGGCACTTGTTGGAAGTGTTTCCCAAGTTGATCAAAGTCGTATTCAGACACCAGGGTTCTGAAACTAAAAAGGATTCAGAAACTGGGACTCAGAAGCTACCAGAGTTGGATTCAGAAACAAAAATAGTCGGATTCAGAAACTCCTTCCCAAGTTGGGTCTATTGGGGCTGTCCTTTGGGAACCGCAAAAACAATCCTCCGGAAGCTCCCGTGGCAGCGCTTCAGAAACCACTTGGCTCGGTGGCCTTCTGGGAGCTTCCCTTGGCTTCCCCTTAGCAACCCAAGGGCTTGCACGCACCCTTGAACCGCCTGGGCCCCAAACAAGTGCGCGAGGTTGCCCCCCCAAACCCTCAAAAAAATGGGGGAGATTGCCCCCCCCAAAATCGTGGGGTAGATGCCCCCCAATGTGAGTCGCTTGAGGGTGGTAGATTTCTGGGGAACCCAAAGCGGATCTGCGGGGCGGCACTGTTTGCTAGCCCAACAGGGTCCAGTGAAAATCACGTTCTCACCCGATGGTACTGGGTATATCCACCCGGGAGTCTGATTGTTGATCCCATGTCGAGCCACAATCAAAGCCCGGGTAGATGAAGGTTAGTCAGGGGCAGTCCCAGCCAGAAATAGTTGCGGCCGCCTTCTTAATTCTTCACATGGTTCTGGGTAGACCGTTTGAATACCAGGTTTTGATTGTGACTCATGCTTTTTTTTGTGGGGGAGACTATCAGAAGAGGTTCCAGGGTCTCGCCCGGCCCGTCATTCGCTTCCGCGCTAAGGACCTGGAAGTCCCCAGCCAGCACTGCAGCTCGATGCATTTCCCGAACCCTCGGATCCAACGCCCCACCCCTCTCTTTGTTTCCTCAAATGGCTGTGGGTCAAAATTAAACCTCCAGGGGACCAAAGGTTTTACTCCATGTTTCTTTCTACCAGGGTTCCATTTTGGGTACCTATTTTTGACCCACAGCCAAATAGCACCCTGAGGCCTTACAAGAGCCCTGAGTTGGAGGAAACCGGATGGTGCTAGGGAGGAGAGGCTGGATGGATCTTATAAAGTACGAGGGGCACCGAATCGGACACGGAATCATTGCTCATGGTTCCAACTCTTCTCCTTCTGGTTCACAGATCGTTGGAACGACCAGGTTCAGGAGGCTTCCTTTGGGGTTGTAAGGGGGATCATAGAGAGCACGGTTGCTGGTCCTAGATAGACCTTGAGCATGGAAATTCGAAGAACTGGGGATTGGCCATGGAGGGTAAGCTTTTTTGGATGCCAAGGGTTTTGGGAATGAGCCGATCCCGTAAAAGGAAGCACGGCATGGCTTTGAGGGATCATTCCCTCATTCTCTACTCAGAACCAGCAAGTGAGGGACCTGAGCGTGCCATAAGGTAGCGACATGCCCTCCGGATTCTGCTGCGGTTTGCTGGGGCCTTATGCCACGCAAATGAGAGAGCTCGGAGACATTTGAACGGTTGGAGCATCCTTAAAAATGTTCGGTGTGGAAGGATTCCAGTTTTTGTGTAGCACTCGATCCTCGAATCATGCTCGGGCTGGATAAGTATATATATATATATATAGTTTATGTATATATATATATAATATATATAATATATATATAATATATATATGTATTTCGATGCATGTGTGTGTGTGCACTTGGCAAGCCGCAAGACAAAAAGACAAGCAACCCGGAAAAATGTCTGGGCAACAGCCTGGGGCGAGACAGCGGAAGGCGCCGTATTTATTTTGGTGGTCTGACAAGCGCGGCCCAATGAAAGTGCATGCGGAGGTTGCTCCAACCACTTCTGTGATATCTTCGGGAATCTCCCCCTTTGTATGGGTTTTAGAAAGCCCTTTCTGTTGTATCACGGAAGTGGATTCCATTTCCCACAGCCCTGTTCCCTCTGGTTTCCCCTCAAAAACAGAGAAGACGACACGGCCCCCGAAAAAAGAGGACGACGGGCGGCTCGCTTGCTCCCGCCTCTTCAGGTCCCCAAAGAAGATCCGCGTGGAGACCGGCGAGAATGCGTGTGCCTGCGAGGGCCCAGAGAGCAGCCGCCCGGACGGACAGCTTTTTTACATCCGATGGTCGGAGATTTGTTTGGCTCCCAAAAAGGAGACGCCAATGTACCTACAAGCGTACCAACAAGTGAACCAACGGACTCTCCAACAGTTGGATCCCAAAATGGGTTTGGTGA